ATCGTGGCACAAGAGAGCAGGTGCGATTCTATGACACCCGCGGACTCAGGGATGGGATGGAGTTTCCTCGACATTACTATACTTTTGCAGATGGCTTTGTACTGGTCTACAGCATTGACAGTAAAGAGTCCTTTAAGCGGATGGAGGCCCTCAAGAAGGACATTGACCGTCACAGAGACAAGAAAGAGGTAAAGACTGAACACAGTTGAATGTTATTTACTCCTGATTCTCTTTAAGTCCCAATAGACAACCTGCCATAGCTGTTTTCATGCTAGTATTGAGACAAAATGCACTGATGTCGACAGTAGATTACATTGACATGGGACTAACCTGTTGACCCTGATCCACAGGTGACCATTGTTGTGCTGGGTAACAAGCTGGACAAGCAGGATGAGAGGAGAGTGGACTCTAACATGGTTCAGAACTGGGCAAAAAATGAGAAGGTGCGTCTGTGGGAGGTGTCAGTGGTGGAACGCCGAACCCTGATCGAACCCTTCGTCTACCTGGCCAGCAAAATGACCCAGCCTCAGAGCAAGTCCACTTTCCCACTCAGTCGCAATAAGAATAAGGGCAGTGGTTCCACAGACAGCTGAGTTATCAGACACTGTTGTCACGTTAAAGAGAAGGGAACAAGGGAGAAGAAGAAGGTTAAAGGGATCTTAGCTTGGCTGAAAAAGTATTTTGATAATATGAAGGATAATTAGGAGACTGAGATGACAAAAAGGCAGGGTGATTGTATAAATAATATTTATATACAGTGAGCACTGTTGGTATCTTGGTGAAACACTTTTATCTTAAATTTGAAAAAACCGCTGATCTTTTATCAGTTAAGAATTTTATGAAAGCAAATTGCTTTTGTTTTTCAACCCTCTTTTACTTGGTATATGGTCAAACTATTCATCCACATTCTTTACAATAACAGCTGTTGACATCAGGATTCATGTTTTGGATCCACACTATTTAGTTCCTAAACTACTGACAATCAACATGTCATTTATACTTAACCAGTCAAGCTCAGAGAATCATGGTGCCCACTGTATAGATACCGTATGATCGAGCACACATGTACACTGGCTACTACACAGATTTAATCAAAAAGGCAGCAGTTACCTAATGTTACCTACTTATTGAATCACACAAATGCTGAATTTCACATGTTGTAAAAGATTTAAAGGTGATTGATTATTGATACATGATTGATGTACAGTAACTGTGCTGTTTGTTGATCTGGAGATTTGTTACACTATATTTGTTATTTGCTGAAATTCACTGTTGGATGCAGTTGATTGAATGTTTGACATTCCTCACCACATATTGCCTTCTGTACAGGCTTTAGAAATGTAAATACAAGATAACCATTGTTTGAATGAAAGGTGGTTTCTGCAGGCTCAGGTGCTATTTCTTTTTCTGTTTGTGAAACATGAAAGACATAGGCAATATCTATATAGTAAAACGTCCTAGCATAAATAACATGGCTCATCATATAATCCGTCAGTTACTGCTAGTATATGTTTATGTAAGATGTAGAATACAACTCCTATTCATTAGTAGACCATATAACTGTTAGTTCGGGTGCAACATGAGTCAAAGAATGAGCAGCTTTTATTGTTTGTATGACTAAAAAGAGGAAATGTGTTGATGTAGTATTTGTTTCATGTGTTTGTGCCTCAGGTCATTAACACTATGTATCAAACATGCAACTTTTTTTGTGATTCAAGCTTTTGTGTGTGTTCACTTGATATTTGTTTGCATGCTTTTGTAAACAATATAAATATTTTTTTCTGTGCCGAACCAGAATTAATGGTTGTATTTAGACACAGCACGACTGTTTTATTACAAAAGCCCTTTCGTCAGAGTTGTGACATTAAAATGTGGTTATTAGTAGTTTTTTATTTTTTATGTTCCGCTAAAACGACTTGTTACCGTCTCAAGTTAAGTGAGAGTAAAACTCAAATCTACAAATAAACCCAATCCCAGTCAATGACTTTTAGTATAGTTAATTAGGGCCCGAACAACAACAGTCAGAGTGGAGGGCCTATCCATCAGGTATTTCTTATTATTTTTCCTAAAAGTAAATTGCTATTTTGAAGGCCTTAACATTTATAGATAAATTAAAGCTGCAAGCACCAAATAATGGGACAGATTTTAGATCTCGTAACATTTTTTGATGTATATACATCACATTTTGTACCAGATCTAAAATCTGTCCCATTCTTTGGTGCTTGCAGCTTTAATTTATGTTGTAGTATTTTTCATAGCCAGTAGATGTCTCTGATATTCCAGTAAAACAATTTCTATCTACTCAGAAGGGCTTATTAATTATCTTTTAAAGGTAATAAATATCCATGCGTATACAATGGATTCATTGTAGGATCTCTGCATTATTCTGTATCTAATCTGAAGCTACAACAATCTTTAAATCAAAGCCCCGATTTGACAATTTAGTTGCATCAAACGTCAGTAATAGGCGTTTGTCGTCCTCACAACACTAAACAACATCGTTTGTATAGAGTGGTGGTGTACAGTCAGAGGACTCATTAAAACATGTCTTAACATGTTAATAAATCAATGATAGTACATTGTAAATTAGATTTATTTGTCTTTCATGTGTCAAACATTCATGACAAACATTCAGGAGTAAATGTCTCTTAACATTTTGCAATGCACTAAAGTGAATAAGGTACATATTGAACATTTTCTGTATCATGAATTAGTTTGGCATTCTATATCCATCTGACCAACGTTGTTGTTTCTGCCTTCGCTTTGTTCAAACCAGGCTGTGAGTGGCAGGGAAAACACTGAAGGTCAGACGATGTCAACGATTTCCAGGCAATGGAAATGTTCTTCTAGTTCCACACTGCCATATCGACTGGATAGGTTAATGCAAGATAATGAGAAAACCTCAAGTGGAACATTTATGAAATGATGGTACACTCACCTGAGTTTCCCCCGAGGGTGTTATCATTTACCATCTCATTTCAATCATGTTCTTTTTAATGACTAGACTAGAGCCAGTGCGCAGCAGTTACTTCACTCAACAGGCAAGGAAGAGAAGTTGTCAATACGTTTCAAAGCCTTTCTGTGTAAGGACTTAACATATGTAGTGACCCACATAAAGAAAAAAAGATCCACAACACAAAACATGGAACCCTGCGAGTGTGCCAGAGCGGGGATCGATTTGTCACATGCCTGTGTGATTTATGAACCTTCTTCTTCCTTCAGACTACACTAACCACAAAAGAGAAATGCACACTTGCTTGCCTCAGTCGCAGCAAAGCAACAAGGCGATGCCCTTACCAGTAATACCCTTTTACTGTTGCATGACTGTGTGTCTTATGACTGCAGCTGAGTATCCTGCTCCCCCAGGGGGAATAGATAACATTTTATCCCTCACTTGTTTCAGTTTTTTTTTAGAAGGTAAACTAGATTTAATCTTCCTGGAAGATGTTGCATTGACCCTTTTTTCACTGTCCCCATCACGACGAGGCACCAGATTAACAAAACAATTCCACACAGGAGTGAACACATACGGTCTAAATGGCAGTGCCACCTTTATTCTCTGTGCTATCCGGCTTATTATTCTGGGGGCTGGAAATACCAGCAGCCCTGGAGCCATCAGTTATGTCAAATGTTAGTCGTCATGCTGGCTGCCAACGAGCCTCTGAGACAGGTGATTTGTCCTAAAAGCACAGGGGGATTTCATGTGGGATAAGTCAGAATGTGCAATAATTGGATCTTAGTTATTGCTCATAGTTTGTGCTGTGATATGATGAAAGAGTTTGACACCTCTGGGGATCCATGGGGACATGTTGACACAATTTCTCTCAATAGTCAATAAAAAGACAACTTAAGCTCAATAAAGGAATAAATAAAGGCAATGTGGGATCTGAAAAACAAATTGATTCATTCCAATCATCTGTCTCCTTGTCCCTGACGTACAAACAGTGCAGAAATATTGACGCCTTTTTTGTCAAATGCTTCAACACTAAAATGATGTAATAACTTCTATGTCAGTGAGGCTAGGAGGATTTAAAATGAGTTTGAATTTAAAATATCCTGCTTTATTTGAATAACACTCCATAGATGCAATAAAATAATAACCCCTAAAAAGGAATTGACCTGTAGTGACTAGTAATGTTTTAGATTTGATAATTGAATCTAAGACATAATTGTACTGTATTACCGAAATAAACAAGATCAATACTATTCTGTAACGTCAGCAATACATATTACCAAGTGTCCAATATTTAAAGCAAACCTGAGAAATGAAACAAAAATCAGCAGCAGATAAACGCTTCTGTTGTAAAATATAACATTTTTAACTAGAAATAATGTTACATTATTTGTCATGATAATTCCGATACAATAATTATCAAGCTGAGTGTGGCACCACGAGGACTGGCCTTGTCTTTTTTGATTTATTATACAAGGGTTGACTCTAGAGCTGAGGGAAGACACACAACAGGAGATAAGGGTGTCAATCCCTCTATGGAGAGAAGTAAGATAAGATAATGGATCAATACAGCGGATACACACCAGTGTCACAGTTCAACAAGGTCAGCATGTCCTTCTTCCATTTCACTTTAGTGGATCCCTTTGATTGGCACCAGACCTGGACGATGTGCTTCCACAAAGAACGTATAGAGGACAAGGGCTCTCCTTTAAATAAACAAGCAACACTGTAAAATTGATACAGAGCTAAATACATGATTAGATGTTTAGATGTCTCTCTGCTCAGTTTCACTGCATAAAGTTGGCTTTAGGGATGAGCCGAGATGGGCAACACTGTATCATGTTGGCAAGCGAACAGCTGCGGTTGAAAAATTCAGGAGGATTCATCGTTAAGTACCAGATCTTCCTGCAGTCGCTAAAGCCATCCCAGAATACAATTCACTCTACGATGGCCATCTGTGGAGAATCATCTGTAGATAAAGGAGATTAGCCAGGCTCTAAAGCACATCAGCCACTCAGGTATATCATTTGATCACTCCTCTGTGTGCCACAGATGCATTGAGAGCTCAGACACTTGTTGCCATTTGCATTCACCATCGTATCTTGGCCAAACACCAGCCCTGCTGTCACAAGTTGCCTGTATGAAACAACTGGAAAAGGAATAACTTTGGGCTGAACAGATTCTGTGAGGGTGTTGAGGTGCACACTTCCGTAGAAGCCAGCACAAATTGATCACAATACAAATCCGTTTTATTTCCTGAGAGCTGTATATACTCAGTTTTCAATTTCTGGTTAATATTTTTTGAAACAGTCGTTTTTCTCAGCATCTTTGCAAATCTGAGCATTCATGTTGATTCATTATCAATACTCCGCCTGGGTCTCCTCTTGGTTTTTTTCTTCACACACCCACACACAACCGCTCAAATATCAAAGAGTCAAAGTACAGCCTTGTGGGATGCTGCTTTTCATTTGTACCCATAATGCAGGGACACACACACATTCAGATAATCATTCAAACCATTTTTTTGTACAAGTTCTAAAAGCTTTATTGTCCAAAATCCATCCCTTGTCCTCTCTATGGTACAGCACTGACTGTTTTCAATCCATCCATGTGTACAGTGTTTCCTGCTCCCTAGAGCTATTGAGGGATACCCTGAATGGATGGTCATGTTAACGTTTGCTCAACCTGTCACCCCTGAGAAGGCCTGGCTAATGTGACTTTAGGATATTGTGTAAAAAGGCCTTGAATTACAATATTAATTCCGTCACTGTCATCAAGGAAAGAAAAACTCACTCATTAAACTTTTGTTTTAAATACATTTTGTTGTACTTAAAAAAAAACATGTAAAGAAACAAACAAAGAACAAAAGAAAGCAAAGGATTTTTCCTTTCCCTGTATTCCGCACAGAGCCTACAATAACATAATCTACTCTCTTCTATGATAGCAGTTCTTTATGATACAGATAACAATAGCAACTCTGATAAAATCTCTATAGTTACTCTATGATTTCTACATATAATTTCCATCTCTAGATTCTTTATGTTAAGAAGGTTTCAGTTCTTTAGGTCAGAGTTCCCACTGAGCGATAGAAACAAACAAACAATGAAGATTAAAGGCTGGCTGGTTCACTGAGTAGTGCGACTTGGGAGAATCACATCAGTATGGCCTCGCTTACCCAGAAGGACTTGGGGGTTCTTAAACAGAAAGGTACACGGAGCAAAGGTTTTCAGAAGCACTAGTACTGGATGGCATTACAGGGTTTTCACGACAGATGGCACTGTTGCATCACACACAACGATACATATTGCACAATGAGAAATGCATAGGATCTGCTCCATTACTGTAATTTAAGAATACATGATTGTGTATGATTGTTGAAGGAAGGGTCACATGTACGCTCCTATCTTGCCAACAGTCCATTCTGGCAGAGGGAGGGTTTGAGTGTCAGTAGATGTCCTGGGTAATGAGGGAGGGGTGGGGCGGCCCACATGCATGAACAGCAATATGACAGTTGATGATGCACGTGACATGTATCCCATAACACTTGTCTCTGACGTAACGTTGTTTTGCTCAGTGGAAGTCATACAAAAGTTCTCCTGCACTAAAAAGGGAAACAGGAACATCATATGGCGCTGAAGCCGCCTTTCAGAGCGGCTTTAAACGGAACAGCTTGGTCCAGAGTCGTGGAGATGGACCGTGAGCATCAAGCATCAAGGCCAGCACCGGCAGGACCACCCCTCAATTCAGAGTGAACCCTTGGCTGTGTTGGAGTACTTCATACATGTGTGTGTACGGTATAGAATAGATAAAGCCATTGACACACTAAAAACACATCATAAACATAAACTCACAGAATGTATTGCTTTAAATGTGAGAGACTTGTCTTAGTTATGAATGAACCATAACGTGTAAATTCTCACCTGATTGTTTTTTTCCCTTTCAATCTAACTTGGGATTGTAAAAACATACACCTAGGGCAAAACGTAAAAAAAGTAAAGGCAAATATCAACACAATTGTCATTGCTTTTGTAAATCAGTTTTAAGGTGCTCTTAATGTGGTTGCCATGGCACTGTGCTTTGTTCCCTCCCACGCTGTGCGCTGACACTGCGACAGGTTGTCAATCAAATACCCCCCATTCTCATCCAAACTTTCCGCGGGGCTCTGAAAGCAAGTCTTTAAATGATCCATTGTGTTTTATCATGTGTGATTTTGCGCATTCGTGTAGTGCGAGAGGCTTTCAATGCTCTTTATCATCATCTCATGCACATCTCATCGCGCCACAGAAAAATCAAGGGCAACGAAGAGGTGAGAGTGGGGGGAAGGAGAAAGGAAATGAGTAGCCACAAGGGGGAAGAAATAATGGCATTTTTCAATGTAAGACATCCACAGCTGCACACATGTTTTCGTACCGCTAGTTTGGCGAGACATACTGTTTAACTGCATTACATAAAAGACACACTGAACAAAATAATTCCAAAGACAGATTTGCAAATTGAAACAAAGTCAAGTTGACAAGCTGACCTTTTCTTGATCTTAATGAGAGCTTAAACCTGAGGATACAGAAAGAGAAAAAAAGTCTGGAGGGGCTATGACTGTGTCTGTGACTCAGAAAGAAAAGTTAAGGGCTTGAGAAAACAGCTGGAGGTGCAAAATGGTGGTGGGGTTTTAAATAAATGAACATACAGATATAGCATCACATACCCCCCACAGTGTGGACTCTTAGATAATTACCATATCAGAGACATGATGATCCTTTAAGCTTGTAACATGAAAATACTGATCAATGCCACCCTCCTGTCCAGCCATTCAGGACGAAGCCTCTGGTTCAGCTGCTTTAATGACTTGTGATCCTCCAACCTTTCATTGAACCCTCAAACCAATAAGTTAAAACGTTTTAAAAGAGCATCAAGTAAAGGGACCTTCTTTTGTGGCAACCACACTAAACATACATCTAGACTTGTCTATATTTGTTCTCTAATAAATTACACAATAATATCCATAATCCAAACCATGATGACCCATGAAATGGCTATAAAAGCGGCCTCTGTGCACCAGTCACTCTCTGGAGGCCTGTCCTGCTCCTTTGGTCATTATAAGAGGAGCAGAAAGAAGGCATGATGGGGGATCTTGGCCTTTATGATAGGAACAGCTGTCAGGCCTATAAGTGCCTACTGAGCATGAGGACTTGTGCTCTCTCTCTATTATAAGTCAGGCGGGCTGCATAGTTTGCGTGTGGCCTTGTCATGTGGGACACACTAAAGGAGGGCCTGGGGTTTGGTAAAGGGACAAGGGTGGAGCTCAGATGGGAAGGGCGTTTAGTCTTTAGTAGGGGGAGAAGATGAAGGGTGTGTGTGTGGCCCTCAGCGGCCCCGGGGCAGGCCGAAACAGTGCAGGGCCCAGGAAGGGGTTCTGGATGAAGGTGGTGCCCACTGGGTGGCGCAGAGCCAGTGGGTTAGCCATTGTGCACAGGGTGGGCTGGGTGAGGGGGCTGGGCAGGAAGCCAGTCGTCAAGCTCTTGGTCAGCTGCTTCTGCAAGGCCAGTTTGGTCTGGAGAGGGGGGAGGGGGGGGCACACGTTAGCATATTTTCACAATGGCAACACTTAACTTTTAAACTCTTGGATGTTAAAAGATGGTTCAGATTCTTTTTGACATAANGGGTGCACACGTTAGCATATTTTCACAATGGCAACACTTAACTTTTAAACTCTTGGATGTTAAAAGATGGTTCAGATTCTTTTTGACATAAAGTGAAATTTTTTCATTAAAATCATTATCAATCAAAATCATTTGTAGTTTGCTCTTTCACACAGCGCCGTAGTAGCAGTTATAAGATTGATGGAAATAGTTTTTCAACAGAATTGCTGAATACAGCACTTATCACACACACCTTTTCCTTGTAGCATATTTAGTCATTTATTTGCAGAGCACAACTTGTTTGGAACACACAGATAAAATTATGAATGTTTTAATAAGTTCTTGAAGCTGTGTCCCGGGGCTGTCATTTTAATCCAAGTATAAATCCAAACTGACAGCTGCTTTCCTCTGAGAATGAACAAACTATAAACGTTCTCAAGCCTATAAGGAGTTAGTATTTGATATGCGTAATGTGCAGACCTGTCTGTCACGCAACTAAAATAGTTTAATGATTAAAAAAGGAACTAAGTGCAATTACAATTATTTTAATTGTTTGAATTTTGGTTCTGGGCGATCAAGTCTTGTCTGTCAGTTTGATAAATAAAAGAGAATACCAATGAGCTATAGTTACCATTGTTACAGATAGAGCAACACATTTTAAATGAGTATTTGAAGAAAACAAGATACTATGGTAACTGAATTGATCAGAAATTGATCACAAACCCAGACGTTCATTTGTTTAAGATGCAGATTGTATAATCAGTTTCTTCATCAGGGTATTTTTTAGCTGCCTCCTATAATTATCGGTGCACATAACAGAATTGGAAAAACCTTAAATTAGATGATTCTTAGCTTACTGAAAGAACAATAGGATCATTGCAACTTTCTACACTAACATTTATTTCTTCAAGAAATCAGGGGCACTTGAAACATACAGTATGGTGGTATACAAGAGCAAATAGGCTATGCCAATTCAAAAACAGGCAAAATCCAACACACACACAAGTTCTTCGGATTTTCATATGACCTGTTTGCGCCTGAATACCACCTTAGGAATAGCTCTTTCCAAATATATACTCTATTGAGATCAGCATTAGTGAATAATCAATCAATCAAAGTTTTTTATTTATTGATTGATCAATTGATTGAATAAATGGGTAAAACATTGTGGGGAAAAAGAAAACTAAATGATCCCTTCAATATAAACATGACTTCTTCATGAACAGTCCTTGCCCCACGGCCAGGCTTTGAGTTCCATCTGCGCTTTTAAAAATCCACTTTTTTAAAATGGCTTTTATTTATGTTTAATTACTTTTTTATACTCGCCGTGTTCTATAATGGTTTTCTTACTTCGTTTTACTTCCTTACTTTTACAAGGTCTTTAGTTAGTTTCATTCATTGTATTTAACTGTGTTCTGTTTTTTATGTAAAGCACTCTGTTTGAAAGGTGCTACATAAATAACGTGTTTTATTATAAATCACACCCAAGACTCTCCTGTCACTGACCTGCACGGAGAGGGAGGTGAGATTGTACTGGCTGAACGCTTTCTTCATGGCAGACACAGCCAGGCCCGCATAGCCACTCCATCTCACATTCTGGAGGATGATAGAAGAAGAGGAGGAGGAGGAGGAGGAGGAGGAGGAGGAGGAGTCAGGGGAGAAAGAGAGGTGTGTTTATGACAGGAGCAAAGAATTGATTAATCTGGAGTGCTGATTCAGGCTGCTGTTGACAGAGATGGTCAAACTATTTTAGAGCTTTCTCAGGGGGAGAGGACTCACAGAGAACAACAGTGTGCTTAACCTCTATGACAGTATACAGGCACACAAGCATGCTGCCTCGCTGAGACAAACTGTAGAAGCCCCCGAGCCCAAAGTAATGAGATCCATGTGTGTGTTTCTTAACGGAATGCCTGTCGGAGTCAGGTTCATATCAGTTTACTGTAGCTGGAGATGAATTGGTGTTTAAAAATGCATTAGTTTACAAGCTAGACTTAATTTATGCCAACGTGTACAGCCTGTTCAAGCATATCTGCTGCAAGAGAAAGGCAATTACGAGTTGTTTGTCTTCCCTAAGTGTGTGTGCATGCGCGCATATTTGGGGGACAGTGTTCTGTTTGTCTGTGTCTTTATGCTGAGACTTACCGCTAAGCTGGTGCTTGGCTGGATCTTGCTGTGGGGGGTAAATTTGGGTTTGGGTGGTTTTCCGGCCAGCCTATCCTTGTGCCTTCTGCTATTCATGTGCTGCCGAGACCAGAAGAAAACACAGTCAGTGAGCTAACAAGCATCTATTGTACCACAGTGGAACAACTTCAAATGGTATCTGCTGATTAATAATGGATACACATTGAGTATGACTGAAGAGCAGATACATTACATCACATTACTTTCTACGGCTGCCACACTATCTCCCTCTGGCTGCGGTACCGGCAGGCTTATGCTCTCCTGGGATAGAGGTTGTTTATATAAATCTGGTGGAATGCATTCACGGCCGGTTGTTCAAACACGCCAGCATATCCTGCATCTTTTCCACACTCTAGCTTATGCAAACTTTCCAAGAAAATGTGATGTAGTATTTAATGAACATCAAAGGAGGAGAAATTACCTCGCCAACTTGGTTCGATGCCAACATAATCAGAACATTTAATACAGGAGAAATTAGTAGCTTGCAATAATGAGTGTGAAATAAATGCCTGCTCACTGAAGAGCTTTGCAGTTAGTCATGGCATCAGATGTTATCTGTGAGATGTGATGTTAATGTGGAAAAATGGCTGCTGCTTGAATGTACTCAATGGCTGCAATCATGTGGCTGTAGATGAAAGTGCTGCTTTAATTTAAGCCAAGGTGGTTTTAAAATGGTCTCTTGTGTTGTTATGTAAGGTCTTTCAAATTAGCATCAAGCATTTTTATCATTTTAAAGCAAAGCATTTCTGATAGCTTTTCTGATTGTAACATTATATGTCAGTTTGGTCTAAGTTCATATCTCTTCACGTGTAAGGTAAGTGCTAACTGAGCAGGCAGATTCATTCTGTGGAGGTGAGGTAATATTATGCAACTCTTTCTCCACTGCCTGTTGTGATTGGGCAGGAGTGCTCTTCCCTGCAGAGTCAACTGTACTTCAATTCAATATACTCAGGTTAGTTTGCCACGACCAATCTGCAGGACTTCCTCAAGCCCTCGTTTCCGTGCTCAGCATACACGTCATACATCACAGAAAGCAGAGAGGTATTCCAGAGGGAAAGCTCTTCATAACCAAAAAGTTTGTACCATTTCTTTATCTGATTATACCAGATATCATACATGTACTTGTACAGACTTGAGTTTTTATTTTACAATGTCCTCGATTCACAATGGTCTATTAATTGGAAAACTATACATAATATGCAACACAACCTACATATTATTGTGTTTCTCTTGACACTTACTTGGCTAAGCTGTGTCTCTGAGTTCACAAAGATCTCACACACTTCACACTGAAAGTTCTTGCTGGGCACCCCGACGCTGCCTTTGCTGGCCAGCCTCTTGCTCTTGCACCCTGCCCGAGCTGCCACCACCTTCCCCCTGCGCCGGGGCAGGACACTGTGACCTTCCAGCATCAGTTTGTGCTTTGTACCTGGTGGAGAGAACAGAGAGCTGTTTTAGGGAAACGGTAAATGTCTAAAATGTATTTGTTCAAGGTCAGTAACATATGTAAAAAAGCCTAATACCACTGTTATGTGCATCCAGTTGGGAGGTGGAGTTGACTGTGACTTTACAGACAGGACAATGAAGGTGAGCCTTGCTCTTGTTGGAGTCGGGGTCCTCATCTGTACGTGGCTCCTCCTTTATGCTGGAGGCGTCCACAGGGCTGCCTGCCTCAGTGATTGGGCCCTCAGCATCGATGGCCTCGGGGACTTCAGGGCCGCTGGTGTCCGAGGCGGTCTCTGAGAGCTGTGAGGAAGGCGAAATCTGAGGAGGGGAAAGGGTGACCAACTCCACGGAGGAAACCTCGGATACTGGCGTCAGCATGACTGAAATCCTCGGACTCTCGTCAAGCTTTTCCTCCAGATTGGTTGGTTCCTGGTCAGACTGAAGACCTGCAGAAAATAAGTTCATATAGAGGATAACATCAGCAAAGTGTGTTTCATTTAAACCTGCAACAATTGATTTGTTTTGCCACCTGGGAGCAGCGAAAACAAGCTCTGAAAACAAGCTCTGAAAACAACATTGACTATTTCCTTGTCAGCAGTTGCTTATTTACACATCCAGCAATTACAGAGCAACATTATCATTCATTTGGAGTCGTGCATTTGGCCTGATCTATCTCCAATGTTCACTGTTGTTAGTCTCAAACCACTCCTCTGGAAAGCATACAGTATGTCTCATTCGCTAAATGCTCCACTATGTTCATCATTTTTGTGTTTATAGAGAGAACTGAAGTCTTTTGTGGTCTTTTTTAATTGTGTGAATGGGATATTGTATTGTTTACATTGTATGTATGTGTACAGTCTATGTATGAGTATAAATGTGTGGATGCATGTGTGTATATATATAAATGTGTGTTTTATATTTTGTATCATGTACAATCATGTATAGCTAACTATCTTTATTTTATTGATGTAAATTGTACTCCTATTTGGTTGTTAACTGTGAGCATGCCTGCTGATAATCTCCATCCAACTCTTCAGTTGAGTGCAAGGACGGAGTTGGCTGAATTAATCTCCAAATAACTTTCTCTCTTTTAATACAACATTTGAGCCAGAATATTTGAGCCAATTTAATAGGGCTTTTCAAGTACCAGCTTTGTGGCATATTGTGATACAGTATATGATCAGCCTTTTCCTTTAAACCACATGGAACACACTGGATTAGTTTTGGTTTGGGCTAGAAAAATGCCATCAGGCTTTCTCCTTGTTCCTTTCCCCTCTCTTCCCTCTCCCCCTTACTATTCAAATATCAAGTGGACCCGGGGTCTCAGTCAATAAAAACAAACCAATCGAGTGCTGGGGCCGGCCCATAAGTCACTGGAGTTCCATTACACATCTCCCCCTCACCCCCCGTCTTCCCGAGGGAGTCACACACTTCACCCCAGAGCACTGTGCCCTACGCTCACTGAATATCTCACTTTCATTTAGTGCTTTCTCCCGCACACAGTCACAACCTTCCTCTGTACAACCCTGCTCTATTGATTTTCCCTTTTACGTCTTAGAGTAAATTCATCATTGGAGATAAGTGTCTTCCTCTCTCATTCCCGCTAAAGAAGAACGAAACTATATAGGAGCAAGATTAGAGCTTCCCTCGGCGTAATGAGAGTGACCCCTGAGGGATTTCAACTGCTCTGTTCGGGGAGGTGGGCGTTGGTATGATCCTGAGCTTATGTGAAAGACAGGGCCACCTGAGAAGTCTCTGGGGGGGAGTGATATTGATCAATGGATTTAGCAGGAACCTGACAGAGGAAGATTTGGAGGCGGGAGGGAATCAACGCGCTCAAAAATCCAAAGACTCAGATCCTGAAGGACCTCATTCAGCAAGGAATCAATTCAGCTGTTCCCTGCTGAGTTTAATATATCCCTATTTTAAAAAACTTTAACTTTAACAGATATTAAACCCTAGTAAAGTTCTCTTTATTGCTCCATTAATCAAGCAGTCTACAGGAAATGTTAATAATCATCCCAGTCATTTATCAAGCCGCAGTGACAAAGTAGCATTTCTGCATTTAAGACTGCAAAGATTAATTGATTTATTAAAAAACAGCACACATTATTGATAATGGAAACAATCATAAGTTACAGGCCTTATGGGAAAGAGTACAAATAGTTGTTTTTGATCATCCTGTGGAACTGACAAACAAAGACTGTGCAACCCTCTTCTCTAAGAAAATGTGTGCGGTGTTAGTTGTGCCTCTCGCTCTCTGGCCCTCTACATGATAAGAGAAACTGACACCGACATTGGCAAAGTGTCAGGCTAAAGGCCAGCGAATTGGGAGTGCCAGCAGGGCCTCCGTGGGGTAGAACTACACAGCGGCAAATCATTGACATTTGGATCAACATTATGCAGGCAATCATCAGTTTTCTTTAACATTAAATAATTCAGTCAATTTCTTAACAATCCAATTAATTCAGACAGGCTTTCAGAGTGTAAACACATTTGGAGAGATCTCAATTCAGCCTATTGATTTGTTGAGAACTTCCACCACAGCCAAACAGAAAATGAATATCGGAATCATTATGCACAAGCTTGCTGATTCGAAGCAGAACCTAAACAACTTCCCCGGGGGAACAAATCCTCGCTTTAAATCATCATTATTGTGTCGACAATCCCAGTGAAAATGGTTTTAACAGAGGAGTCAATCAAAGCGGAGGCTGATAGATGCTTGTCACAATTGATGCAGGCCCTCTGTCTCTAGGCACCAGCCTGCTGCTTACTTGCTCATTCACTGTGTGCTGACTCCCTCCTTTGTTGGTCTGGGACATGGTTTATAACCATCGATTAATCCCTTTGTATGGTTTAAAACGCTGTCTCTGCTCTTCCCTGTCTCCCTCCCTCTTGTATTATTAGTTGTGGTACCCTTAAAGACAGAATATTTTTAGAATGTAAGAGATGCTGGAAAGTTTGAATGTAATGTAATAGAAATAAAGCTTGCTGTCAACATTTTAGACAGCCAAAATGTCAATTAAAATTAAAATTACACAGCGGAAGATTTCAAGTTGTAAAACAAAATTACACACCATAACCGGACAACCCATTGGAAGGGATCAAGCCATGGCTTAAAAAGCATACACATAATTATCTTTTGTATACTCTAGATCAGCGGTTCCCAACATTTTTAAAAACAGGGCCCACTTAAGAATCAAAACATTTTTCCCAGGGGAGCATGCCCCGAACCCCGAGGATGGGTCCACCCCCCCTTAAATCATGTTCACATGGATAGGATATACATTTGCACACATCTTGTGTCCATATCTTTCTGTTTTGGTGGTCATGCCACAACCGTGCACATGCATGCATGCACGAGTCATGGTAAGATATCTGGATTAAGATGTTGCCTTTTCTTTGCACAGCATGAAAGAAAGGCAAAATGAATGGACTGTGATTTTTGTTTTTTTAAGCAGAGGTTGAGTTCAATAATTTGTACGGCCCTCTGAGGATGTTGTAAAAAATTGAAATGGCCCTTGAGAGGAAAAAGGTTCCCCACCCCTGCTTTAGTCTGTACACAAATAAATAAAAATAAAAATATTGAAATGAAAAAATATGAAATTATTTGGCAGCCCACTTGCAATGCCTTTGCGGCCAACTAGGGGGCCGCGGCCCACAGGTTGGGAACCGCTGCTCTAGATAAGGCCACAGTGAGAAAATGATCATGCGTTTGTATTGAAGACTGGAAAATACTTCAAAACCATACATTTTTCAGGATTATGTTTACTGAGTTAGAAGTGAGGTCCTTTTTTCATGGACTTATATACAATCTAAAAAAATAATACAGTCCTTTAATAATCTGACATTACTTCATTAAAGTTATATAATTAAAAAGTTTATATTGTTGATATTTGGTAGTCAATTTAGAGTATTTAAATTGTCAAAACTCATTCATTTAATTCCATCCAACTAAAAAAATCCCTTGAAAATTGTAACCTTCAATTTTTGAAGAAATAGCAAATAATTTGACTTAATTCCAAGTAAAAAACACATTTAATTTTTTTACTTTTTATAGTTTATTATAAAATGTTTGGAGCATCTAGTTCATGAACCTGCTTTGAGTCTGGAACCCTCAAATGTTCTATTTCATTCTGACAAGTGTTCTGTTTTTTTGTTAACGTTTTGACAAGGCATACATCTTGATAGCCTGGCCCATTCTAGTCATCCAAATAACGTTGCCATTGTGTTTCATAATTAGTTTAATAATTTAATTATAATTGGAAAAACGAGGGACTTTATGCAGAAGCTCAGTCAAAATGTGTTCCATGTATATGAATGGTAGAGGGCTCTTCATTTGGAGCTGAAGAGGCTGACCTTGGTGGTGTAGAGTGTGTTTATTCTGAGGCAGAGAGAGTGCCGACAGGTTTGTTATTAGTTCCTGATGGCAGACAATGTGGGCATTACCCTCAGACAGCTCCCCACCAGCCGTCAGTTTCATGGCAGACATAACTCATTTCATAGTTAATTTGGAGCGCTATTCCATTAAAGGTTGGCATTGTGGTGCATGCCACCACTGGCTCGCACTGCTGCATTTCAATTTCACATTAGGCCAATCACACAATTGGGCTTATTAAAGAGGGTTCCTCCTCACAACACTGCCTGAGAACTGTACAATTATTCACAGCATAACAACTGGCAATGACTTATCTGCTTTCTTTCTCCTCTGACCCCCTTCTTCCTCTCTTGTTCCCCCCTCTCTCTCTGTGTCTCCTTCATTCATTTCATCTTATCTTTCGTTTTCCACTCATCTTGTTTCGTCTCCACTGCTGCTTCACTCTTTCAGAGCTCCCCTTTGCAACGGAAGAATATTAAAATGAGATTTGATGAGAGTGTTATCAGGCCCCCAGTCTTTTGTCCACTTTCTCCTTTCTGAAGGAGACTCTTAGGGCTCAAGGCAAAAAAGTGTGCATGTGCATCCACGTGCACATGAGCGTGTCTCATGTCTCCCTCCACACCCAGCATCCTGATATCTCTTCTCAGATATTCCATCTAGCATCCAGGCGCATTTTGAAATTCTGCTCAGATACTGATCTTCTTTTGGGCAGGGAAAGTGAAGGGGAAGATGAAGTAGGAAAGTAGAAGAGAGGGAGGGGAACTGCTCTGCACCTTCAATGGATAAATGAAAAGTGTGGACCAAGACGAGTGCAACATGAGAAGGTAATGGGCTCACTCTGCAGTCAAAATGCCATCGGAGCAATTTTGGCTCTACTGACTAAAGTTGCAGCAATGGCGTTTGGTAAACATTCATATTCTGCTGAAAGGAAACCAATGCAGTCCTCTTTCTTTATAAAACGTTAAAATGTCTATATTTACACCACCATTGAAAGCATTTGAACTGTATGTAAAATAAGTTGAGTGCCTTTGATTTGACAGCCCCTTATATGAAAACTCTCAGCACTATTTTGCTCCCTCTCAATTCAGTGAGAACTGTGTGTCGTTATTTTCATGCTGCACAAAAACACTAATTCTGCTTCTGCAGCTACCCTCTGTATCTAACGGAGAGAGATAGAAGAGAGCACAAGAGTCAAGCAGTGGAAATTAAGAGGCATAGGGGGTAAGAACGACCCCAGTGGGGCTTCGATCGATCTCAGCCGGCTCCTTTATTTACACAACATCTCTTGCCCTTAGACATCCCATGATCCCACAGCTTTGTAGTCCACCATCCATCACATAGCACGGGGACAAGTCAGGTCAGAGAGTTGTAGCGAGCTCCGGTGCAAGTTGAATAAGCTAAAGGTTTGAATGCACAGAAACATAGAGACGACAGAAGGGCAAGATGTTGAAGGTGTACAGAAGATATAATCTCCAACAGAAACACAATGGAGGAGGGAAGAGATAAGGATATGGAGGAGGAGGCTGGAAGCTGTCGATGATGTGAGAGGAGGATTTGTGGAAGGGGTTTAGAAAGAGAAAAGGGAGGCACTAAAGCAGGGGTGCTCAAACTACGGCCCGGGGGCCAAATGCGTCCCGCAGGCCATTTTGAATCGCTCCTCAGCTAATTCAAATAGTATAATGAAATATGGCCCACAAATGAAACTTTTGCTTTTCTTGTATTATACTTCTTAAATAAATATGTAAACATATATTACACAGTAGTATTCATGTGTTAATAAGCCCACTTTTCAAATGAATTCCATCAATTAAAGTTGAAAACATTTTCTAACAAATCTAAGTTGATAAAAAAAGCCTAATAACTTATTTCCATAAGCAGCTCGAAATCCACCCCTTATGTCCTCTTATTATGGGCAATCTGAGGCTTATGTTTTAAGGAGAGCTGTGACGTTGGCTGTTTTTTCTTAAAGCATATTCAAGTATAAAACATCATTTGCCAACATTTGATTGATTTTGCTAACTTCTAACTCAACTTATGAGGCACTATACTGCTCCTCTAGTAAGTGGCCCAGCCCTTTGTATGTTTTTCTATATGTGGCCCTCAGAGAAAAAAGTTTGGACATCCCTGAACTAAAACATCATGACTTATCATCAAGAGAGGATTTTTGTTTACGTACTTGATCCCTCCATTAAGCTTGTGTCCATGAGCGTGGGAAGAGGCTCCGATGTGGACGTCTTGCTTCTGTCTCGTTCTCTGTCTCTGTCTCTTCCTGTGGATGAGGCCTCCCCAGCTCTTCGCTGCCTGTTCTTCTGGGCCTCCATGGCTTTGAGCTTCCGGGTGTGCTTGTGGCCCTTATAATGGGCCTCTGCCTGGTTCTGCAGGGAAATGAGAGGAAGAAAACAGGTTAGGATGGGGGAAGCAGAAAGGAGTGTTTGACTCAATGCATTATCTGCTGGAAAGACGTGCAATAATTGTTAAAATGCACGTCTGAATATTTGCTCTCTTGCAGGCATGCACAGGCTGCAAGGACGAGAGTCTGTTTCCACCTGATAACAGCGCTGGCACATCAGGAGGCCAGAGGTATAATTGCATATGTAATATGCAACAAGAAAGAGGATCCCATCTCCACAACTACCCTATTAATGTGCGCTGCAAGAGGCTGCAAATCCTAGACAAGTGACAACACACATCTGAGCACACAAACACAAATACAAATCACACGCAAACACACATTCTGACTGACTGACTGTGATGCAGCATTTAACACGTTTACACACATTTCCCTCCGGTTGGATTGAGGTTTACCTTCACATTCTCATCATTCTCACGGCCCGGTTCAGGCTGAGAACAAAGCCCCTATTGTCAGAGCGAGCGTGGATACGTAGGAATAGCAGAGAAATCAATACAGGGATCACTCATTAAAAGCCAAAACAAACTCCGGGGATCGGCCCTCATCGGCTCCTAGATAGAAGCTTTTATAGAGGTGAGGAGCAGACCTGTCTAAATGAGGGGTTTTGTTTAAATGAAATCCGAAGTGTGAACGGAATCTCAAATGTCCCGAAATAACTCGAATTATAGTGAACACTGAGTTATATGGATACATTTCATCCCGTCGAAATTTAAGAGATAAACAGATTAAGAGTGATGGATTAAGAAATGAAGTAGCCTTTTTTTCCAAAGGGTATATGATTTGACATGTGGAGAAGGTAAATCTTTTCTCCATGATTAAGCGTCCTTCCTAGCTCTCATCCAGTTTTAATGCCTCAAGAAATAAATCATGCAAATCCTCAGGGACCACACAAGTTAAGTAAAGAGGTTGGACTTCATTTTGAAGGACTCTTAAGTGAGAAATAAATAAATGAATAAATGGCTATAAGATTTTTTCAGTGGGAGCTAAATCTGGATTTCTCTGATTACCATCAACAATACATTAAGTCCCATTAGCAATTAATATGATGTGTATTTGTGCTGTGAGGTAACAGCCACACACACAGCACCTGTCTCCTGTGTTAGCTCTCTGTAAACACCAGCAGACTGGGGATGGAGTTAAACATGCACACTTCACATTAGCAAGCCTAATGGTGTGACATAGTGGAGGCCTATGAATAATGTGGCTGTCAAAGCATCTGTTAAAACAACTCCAATACTTTAGCACATCGTGTGACTGAACTGCCGTGAAAAGGCTTCAGAGATTAGCGTGATGTGACAAATTCACCCAGTGCCTTCTCCGCCACCATTCTCTCCGTCCGTTTTAGTCTCAGAGGAGGCATATGGACAAGGTGTGAAATGAGCTTTGGTTTTCACATCAGCATGCCGGCCAGCAGGACACAGTATACTCTTCTGAGGGATTTTTTATTGTCCTGTGATTAAGCAATCCTACGGCTAAAAGTAAACATTGGACACTATCTGGTGCATTGCAATGTGTAGTGGGTGGAACAAGTCCTCCCATAAGCCCTGAAATGAATCCTCTCTCCCCAAAATTACTCGCCTGTAGCAAAAATAACAAAGACATAGAATTCAAATGGATCTGCCAGTTTGCCTAATCAAACAATCACTGAGCAGCCTGTTTGGTTGTGGACGTGCATGTTCTTTCCTCAAAGATGTCGGCCTTTTGTCAAAAAGCCAGTCTATTTGCCAGTCAGTTGTCTCTGAAAGTTTTTGGAGTTGCACTGAGCTATAAATATGTGTAACTTGAATGTGTTCGTTTATGTTATCAGGATTTAAATTGAATATGATGAACAAGAGGAAAGACATAACATTTAAAATATATACCGGCATAGCTTTCTTGAAAAGCCATTGACAGAACAAGCCCTCCTATCTATTTGTTTGGTATAAACAAGAAATATAACTGAAATATAATCAAATCTATTGTAGATAGATCTATTGCAAAATGCTGTCTCAATCCTTTTCATTTCCCTTCTTCGTATTGAAGAGGGCAATTTAGCTTTATAGCAGCAAGGTTAAAGGAAAACCAGGGATATAAGCTGTTCCTTTAGTGTGAAATTTGAGGAACTATGCTTGTTGGATATTTTTCAGAGGAGTATTGGAAAAAAATGTTGATGTCTAGATATATGTTCATCTTGGAAGGGTGTAGCATGGGTGAAGGAAGAACCCATGCTATTGTGTGTTGATACGAATCACGGGTTGGATACACAAATTAAGTTTAGCTTTGATTAGAGCAGCGGTTTTCAAAGTGTGAGGCGCGCCTCCCCTGGGGGGCGCCAGAGAGCTTCAGGGGAGGCGCAGCGTGAGACACAAAAGAACGAGAAAAAGACGAGTAAAGTGGCACTTGCCCACTTGTGGCTGTCTGTGGAGACCGAGTTCCCCCACCTCGCCAAAAAGGCTGTAAAAGTGCTCATTCCCTTCACCTCCACCTACCTGTGTGAGTGCAGGTTTTCCGCATTGACTTTGATCAAAAGCAAGTACAGGTAAAGGCTGCAGGCAGAGTATGATCTGCGTTTATTCCTCTGTGCATCAAAGACGCAGACTCATTGTTCCCACTAAAGTAGGGGTGAGTGTAATAAGGAGGCAAAGTTGACGTTCAGTGTGTTGCCGGGAGCATATAAGGATTTATCCACCATGTTGAAAATGTTAAAAAAAATATGTCTTGAGAACACGGCGTGCGGAAATATACGGGTCGTGCTGCAGCTAGATGTGCCTGTCCTCTGTAAGAAGGTGTCGGCGACTGACATGCAAGGAAGAATGGCTGTCCACAGGCTGTTCCAACTTTAACAACTGTATTAACTTCCAGGGTAGTGAATTGAACATGCAATCGTAATTGGGTGTGTGGTATATGCACGAACACGCATGTTCCACAACACACAAACTGAACAACACTCAATTTTCCGATCGCTACCAGTGTCCTTGCGATCTTGTTATAATAACAAGTGCACGTTACTGATGCAATATGGTTGAGACCATTCGGGATTATTCTAGAGGGGTGCAAGGAATAGTCCAAGTAGTGGGGGAGTTTTATACAATATGTTTAAAACAAAATAAAAAGGTTTAAAAAAGTTATTGTTTAATGTTTTAAGGAGGTGACGCTACTCAGCCAATCAAATCGGTGCAGTCAGCACGATAGATTCAAACACACACACACACACACACACACACACACACACACACACACACACACACACACACACACACACAAGACAGA